TCCCCCCTATCGCCCTGGGCATCGCCCGCCAGAGAAGCACCCAAGATCAGCCTTAACAAGCCACAAGTCCACGCCAGAGAGCATTTAACCGCGGTGAGCTGTCGTTCTACTCACACAGCAGCGGATGGTGCAAGGTTTGTACCATCTATTGCTCTGTGGGCAAAAGCTGCCTCACAGGAGAGCTGGTACACGAAGAGTTTGGGGGTTCAGCCCACCCAAACAGCCCAAATCAGTGCGGCTTGTACTGGTTTCGACTTTTAGGGTGCTTGCTGCGTACAGCTGAGCACATCCCCTTTCTCCAGCAATGCGTTTCGGTCAGCAAACAAACGGGCAAAAAGAACGTTGTTTTCGGGGTACAGTACGCGCTATGACCCGCGGTTCTCTCGACTCCTGTGTGCATGGTAAATAAATAAGCGCCAGGAGGAGGACTTGCGCTTTGCTTCGTCGGTGGACGTTCCGGCAGTCGCCACGGGTGCTCAAGCAAGTAGAAGCACGTTGGACGGAAAATATTGGGGTGAGCTGGGCGAGTGGTCAGCAACAGCAGGGGAAGGGTGGCCAAATGAGCGCGACCTTCAAGGAGACCCTCTCAAGGTTGGAGAGTGCATCCGTTGCCGGCCCGACTGTGTCGGTGGGATTGACAGAACGTTCAAGAGGCGCCGCCATGAGGAAGACAAACCAGTGTACTCAAATGATGATAATGTACCCTACAGGGTGCGATTGGCTGGACCGGTGGGCATTCGGAGTGCCCCCAGACCGCACTTGCGGATGGTCAATCAAGGTGCTTTCCGTCAAGCACGTCATGATACATGATCATACCTGGAAGCCCGTGGAAGGGTATCGGCCAAAAACAGTATTAGTGGCTGGTGCCGGAAGAAACTGTTAGAGTGTTGGCGCCGGCTGCACAACCCATTGTTAAGACACTTCGTGGTCCTTCCAAAGTGACTAGTCGTGTAAAAAATAAAAGTGTTTTGATTTTCCTGACCCAAAGTAGTGGTCATTTCTCTCAAGTCCAAGGTAATAACCGCTGTGCGAGCAGAGATGCAAATCATTGCAGAGCATGTACGTTCAACTGTCGCCCCTCACCGTAGCGTCCACCGCAGGATAGAAATCGTTACATTTTGTTTCTCCGCTGCTGCCCGCGCTTCTGCCAGATGGCACTTGGAGCATGACAGATTCAAAACATCGATACTTTTGTAATGGGCGCAAGGGGTTATCTCAAATCATGCTATTTCAGGTTCGAGAGCTTCTGGAAGACTTGGACGTTGAAGGCGGCGCATTCGACTGCTGTCGCGCCGCCCAAGACGCAGTCAGCACGGTGATGCTGACAGCGAGCGGTCTTCGTGATTCTACCAACGACTTAAATTTCAGGTAGGCACACGTGTGTCTCACGGCCTCTATCGAAACCACCACGCGCGGGAATGCATGTTGTCTTTCTAGTTTCCCAGCCCTTCGCTTGCTGATAGGTAATTAAACAAAAATGGCACCCATCTGGTATTGTTTTTGTAGCGTGAACCATGTGTGTCACAAAACAGCGCTTCCAGAAAGTACCTGCAGTAGCTTTTAGGACTCTGATTCTGAGGAAACTTTCAAAGGGAAAAAAGAAAAAGAAAAAAAATACCCCGCCGGTTTGGTAGTTACCCCCGCATGGAACCCAGCTTCAGTTGCGTCAAACATGGATGGCGTCTCAATTTTTTGGCTTGCCTCCCACAGGTTGGTTGCCGATACCCACCTGGACGCCACCACGGACGCTTTTGCCGAGGCGTATGCATACGTCGAGGACACGCGCCGGCCGTCTGGACTGGGTGGTGACTAGCCCACCGTACAACAATCCATTATAAAATTTGAAACAGGCGTTGCGGGTCGGGCGCATGGGAGCGGCATTCAAGCTGAGGCTGACTTTTCTGGAACCTGTCAAAAGCAGAGGGCGGTGGCTACAGGATAACCCTCCTGACAGGATTGTGATGCTCCCGCGTGCTGCCTACCGCGGGAGGAAGAGTAGCTCTACGAAGGCGTGGTTTGAGTGGGAGCAAGCGGGGGGCAGAAAGAGCACGTCAGACCTGCTTTTTGCTTTTCCTTGCCTGTATAACGTCTTTGACACGTCCTTGGGATTTGAGCTTGGATCGTTTGTGCCTTTATTGTGTATATCACCTGTGGTATATAGAGTGAGACGCCAGAACGAAACCCGTCAAGTTTCGGTCCATTTAGCGCACATGAAACAGTAGTATACGAGGAAGACGCCACCTGCGCCGGACTTTGATAAACTTTCCGAGATTTTCTTAAGGACGCCAGATTCCGTTGCCCGAGCTAGATTACCCCGACGAAGCTCAACCGAAAATTGAGTCCTGCGTCGTTGACAAAGTGGGAAGTCACAAGAGTGGTAGGGGGCCGAAAACCCCGTCAACTACAAGTATCGTTCGCGTCTTCGAGGACACGGCCCCGAGTCCGACCTTGTATACGGAGCAGACGAAACTCCACAATATCAAGAAATGATAATTGCATACCGAATCGGTTGTGGTTTTGACATCGGGCCGCCTGATAATTTTTTGTCTCGTACCCCAGTTGAACAGGGAGATCCAAAATCACCCGATAAAACCAGGAAACGAAAACGAAAACAGGTAACGAGCCCTCCTGAAGAACCTTCACCTTGAGCCACCTAACAATACCAACAAACGACGGAGAACTCCTCAAAGGAATTGACATTTAGCCAGCCGCGTTCTGCTAAGAAGCAAGGTGATATTGCATTGCCCTGCCGTGCTAGCAAACGAAAGCGAACAAGGGCCCGAAAAAGGAATGATTGATGTTTTTTAACCGTTCTAGCAGTTATCATCTGTATTTCTTCGGCTTGGGAAATTCTACTCCTATTATTCTGTGTTTATATTTGACACAGGACCAGTAGCCACGGTGGTAGGTTGGGCCCTTTGGAAACAACCTATTTCAGTGTTTGGATGAACACTGACGAGGAGAATTCAATTAAAGCACCACTATCCCAAGCTCTTATTTAAGACGTAAAGGCAGACTTGCCAGAGGATCCACCTCATTACAAGTTTACCCCTCATTATCCCCTCACGTGGAATGCCACGCGATCATGACCATGAAAACACTTTTAGTACCCTAGCTGTCACCATGATAGCCCAGTACCCACCTTTTTCTAGACTATACTAGTGTGGACCACATTCATCACCCTGTCTGCGGACTCCGTGTTTCTCAGCACATGTGGTACGATAACCAGATCTGGATGATGGTGTTGTATAATGTAGGATAATTCCGATACATTTGTCTCCAAGAGCCACTACTGTCTCGAAACACTGAAAGCACATCTTTATCACAGATGGACTTGTGGCGCATTGAGGGGGGGGTCATGTGGAGGACAGCTATCGGAAGCATAACCAACCAACCATTCGTGCACACACAAAGTAGGAGGATACGATCCATCGGGGTAACTTGCCATGTGGAGAGTGACAAGTCACACATCGTTGAGATCTGTCTCTTCCATCGTCTTTGACCACCTGCTGAGAGTGGAGGCGGAGAGTCCTCGACTCTCCTTCCTCTGCCCTCTGCTAGTCACTCTTTCTATCTCTCCCCTCGTTACAGCTCACGAAAAGAAATAGCCGCCCTTGGCAGTAGGGCAACACTGCAACGGCACCGGCTGCTGTCTCTGACGGTAGCCTGTGTCCTCATACCAGTGTATCTACGATTCACACATACCGGCGCAGCAGTGGATTCGTATTCAACGCGTCCTTCCTCCAACGGCCGGGGTATCCAATGGACGGTGTTGTCACGGCACACGTATTTTTTTTCGTTATTTCTTCCTGGGGGGTTATGAGGTATACGACTGTTCCTACCGCACGAAAAACCCAACACAGCCCAACCGCCTTCCCCTCACCGTAACCCGACCCTGACTCCCGCCTATCCTCCTCGTCGGGCAGTGTCGTCTCGGCCAGTTTCGTCAGGTGTTTCCTCCTCGCCACCCCCCCTGCCCCCGCGGGCGCCCCCATCTCTCTGCCAGCTTCCTCAGGAGGATATAACTCCCTCTCGGATGCTTGACTCTCGGCCCCCGTCTCCTGTGCGAGTTTCCTCCTCGCCACCCCCCCTGCCCCCGCGGGCGCCCCCATCTCTCTGCCAGCTTCCTCAGGAGGATATAACTCCCTCTCGGATGCTTGACTCTCGGCCCCCGTCTCCTGTGCGAGTTTCCTCCTCGCCATCCGGTGTCGTCTCTCGGCTGCCACCTCCGAGTATTTTTCCTCGTCTCCCCCATCTCCCCGGGAGGGCTCTTCCCTGCCAGCTTCAAGAGAGTCAACATTCGCCCGGATGTGGTCTTCTCTCCCTCCTCATGTTGTCCCCGTGAACGCTGCAGGAAAAGGTGGACCGCCAGCGCTGCTCGGTCCATGAACTATGCGATGGTTCAGACAAGGATGGGATGTCGTCCGTCGATTACAAATGTGTCGAAAATACTTGCGCATCGCCTATTGTGACCACGGGACGATGTTGTAAGGCGGATGTGCACATAGATAGTCTGTTGACTCCGCCGAGTAACGATGACTCACACAGAACAACCCCACCTGGTGGTGTAGCTTCACAACGTGTCGGTGGCGTTTCTTCCTATCAGGGCTAATCAATGCGAGACCTTCCATAAGGGTGGGGGAGGAGATTCACCGCCATCTCAGCAACAAACAACTCGTGTCACACGCGTCAATACTACGTACCGGGATTCTGCACAGCACCAACCTACAGAACATTTTTTTTCAATGTCTAGGTCAGGAGATTGAGCAGGTCGGCACAAACGGGGGAGCATGCGATTCTCTGCTGAAAAGCCAACTGGGAAGGAGGCTGATGGGTGTCAAAGTCGACCGACAGGATACAGCAGCCGCATATTTCGTGCTGGATGCACAACGCATTCTAACTACCGTACTACATTTTCCTTCCTTCGTCAACTGCCGTACAAGACATGAGCAAGTAAGGCCAGGACCTACCCTATTACTGTGAGTGGGTGGTAAAAATGCAAACCTCCGTGTACCCAAGGGTGCAACGCACAGAGTAAAAAAACTCAGAATATGTCATGCGGAACGCGCCGCGTACGGGGGTTCGTCAAAAAAACATCACGAAACACGGGCCAAACCTTCCGCACCAGATCCACTTCGTTCTTAGATGAGGAAACCCGTTCCCTCCGCAGGCCCAGGGCGCGTAACAATTCTATTGGTCGCGTTCCACCACATCGTCAGATGTGTACCGTTGTTTGCACAAGATATCACCCCCCCTCTGGGCCAAACTTCAAAACCCTCCGGGAAGCACTCCACAGCAACAAAGGAAGCGTGATAGCGTCGAAAATGGTAGAGATGGAAAAGGGTCGTCGAGAGCTTTCCAAAGTCCAACAACATCGTTTGTTTTACACTCCAGTCTTTTCGTGGTGGAGCACTCGTGCTTTGAACATCGACAACATCGATGCAGGGGGGGTGGTATCTGGTGTCAAGTACAGATACACATACCGGTCGCCCCGGTGGTAGCCTCGCAGCCTACGAAGGGCCAGGTCATGGGTTCGAGTCCCGGCAGAGTGAGTTTTTTTCTCACTAAATAAATCCTGGTCTAGGATGAAAGCGACGCGCTGCAAAGAAAGCTCGTTTGTTAGTAAACCATAATCGACTTCGTAAGTCGCGAGGGAAGGGATTGCTGTACCCTTGTCGCGATAAAAATACCTCAGGCATGAACCGCAGGAGGGGGTCCAACCCCCCCTCCTACATGTGACCCCGGTTGGGTCGTCTAGCTAGTAGAAGTGGAGGATAGGGGCCAGAGGGGCAGACGACAGAGTCCAATGATGGGAGAAAAACAAACAAAAAAAAACACACACACACATGACACGGCATGTTGGTGCCACACACGCTCCGAACTGCTGTGCATACTTTACATCGCTACAACAGCACCAGTTTCGATAGTCAAGCTTGGACTTCCGTCGCGAAGGCTCCCCCCTCGCAGAGAGGGGCAGAGGCGACCAACGCGATCTCAAAGGCGGAGTGTTTTCGTGCAGCGCGCCGAGCAACGGCGCAACGGCCAAGGTCAACCATGACGTGTCTCTTGAGAAGGGCACTTGAGACGGCGAGACATGCTGTCATGAAGCTCTGGGACACTTGCGCCCCAAAGGACTGCCAGTGGGTACTCACACACCTACTCCACCGTGAGCTGACCTCCTTAGTTGGGATTGCGTCCGGCCTACCTGAGCTTTCCGGCTGTCCGTGATCGTGTTCACCAGGCACACTGGTGGTACTGGGACTGTCGGCCGTGACCGATCTACATATCCCCCCTCTTTTCATCGAGGCGTTCACCCGCCGTATAAAAGCGGCGGGACGCACAGATTGGCCTACAGATGCATGTCACTTACAGTGCACCGCTGTTGCAGTGAGCAGTAGCATCTAGGCCTTTGCTCCATCGGCCGTTTTGTTCGTATGACGGAGAATAAGAAGGTGAAATTTACATGAAATTAGTTTAGGGTTCCCACCTGTGCTTTTTTTGACCTGAAATTTTGACACGAGCGGTTTTTTTGACCCGAGAGGTTACGCCGCCTCTTTCGGGTCAAAATTTCCAGGTCAGATTTTTCTGGAAGACGTGTCAAAATTCGGGGCAAATTTTTGTTTTGACACGAGGTGCCCCCGAAGCCCCCACAAAGCGATCAACTCCGCCTACCAGCTCGCAAAGCACTGCCGCATACCCACACACGTCTGCAAAAACAATCCCGGGAGCACATCGCACTCCTGCTGGTGCCAATCCGCGTCAGGGACGGTTGCGTTCATCGAGGGTTCGCACGAGCAAACATCCGCGTCAGGGACGGTTGCAGTTTGACAAGACCAAACATGGTCATCACGAGAAACAAGTCCTCCTCTCCGGCCAATGCGCAGAGCAGGGCCAGAGCCATGATCTGCATGCATTCATCATACCGCTCATAGCGGATTCTACCTCGTTCAAGGCGCGCCATTCCCTCGGTTCGTAGCGTTTACGGGGTGGAGGCTCCGAGGCTCAGCCGTTAGGTTTTCGGTCTTGCGCTGAGTGTTTTTTTAAAATCGAGATTTCGCCGCTGCTGAGCTCCGAAAGGTAACAAGCGGCGAAATAAGTTCGTGTCAAAATATCAACCGTCACTTTTTTTTGACCCGAGCTGCCTTGTGTCAAAATTCTCGGGTCAAAAAAAGGTGGGAACCCTAAAATATGGAATTAAAGTTTGTGTATCTGCTTAGAGCTCAGCAAAGTGAACATTTACCGCGCAGTAGCCCAGCCACCGTAAAGAGAGGATCCACACGACGAGAGCGGTGCCGTAAAGATGGGAACGACCGGTCCAGCTGTTCCCCCCTTACTTCCGTGCTGCTTGTTCAGCTATTATTCTATTTTGTCCCTCTCCTCTCGGAGACTGGGTTGTTGATCAGTAGTGCTTGCCCATTTGACGATAAAGATGTTTACGGGAATATTCTCGGTATGGTTCTGGTTCTAACAACATATTCGCCTGATTGAGAGCGAAGTATCTGATTGAGAGCGAGAGCCAAAAAAATTGAAATTTCGGGTCCAGACGCCTCTTGCCATTTCTTGGCAAGTAGGGGACGGGCTATTCCAAGAAGCGGTGCAAATTGAAGGTCTCATCAGCAGCTTCGCGAGCATATGCGTGTCATCGTCATCGGATGCTGCAGCGAGGAGCTAGACAAGTTGCTAGATTTGCCCAGATTGGCTATTTCTGCTCAAACTGTTTCAGGGCGGTATCGCGTCGGGCGGTGGGCTCTGCTGTAGCTTCTGCTCCCCGCTGTAGCTCCACAACGAGAGACTCCCACAGGATGACCAGGGTAGCGGCTTGAAGCTACGGGCTAGCCCTTCAATTCAAGCTACACAGCAAGCTATACCTCTGAGTGGTAGTCCGGCTACAGCGTATCGCGCAATCTCGCTCTCAATCAGATGCTACGCTCTCAATCAGGCGAATATGTTGTTTTCTGTTGTGGTTCTCTTTGCGCACGCACACAACCCACCGCGAAGCGAGGGTCCCCACAACGCCAGCAGCACGTATCAGGTCGTACGTATGCATACGAAGCGCAGCACCGCCCCACCTCGCAAGACTTGAGCGACGATGCAGAGGGCGGCCGACCACGAAGAGGCAGGAGCTCTACTGGAGCAAGCCGAGGAACATCTCCGAAACGATGTAAACCAAACGAGTTCGTTCGTGGTGTCTCAGTGATGCACCTCTCTACCCACCTCTAGATACACCTCTGGCGGGTGATCTCAGCTCGCATGTTCTGCAACAGCAGCTTGGATGTATAGGATCTAAAGGGATTTGCTCGCTACCTAAGCCATATGTGCGTTGAAGGCTTCGCACATGTCGACAATAGCAGCTCTTCTCTACTACTTTCGCCCTTGTGCTGCCTGTGCTTGAGCTCGTGACCAACAACATCTGCTACAGACGTAGAGCTGACACCGTATGCATCCATACAAGAGACGATATTGATTTTCCTTTGTCTCGAGTATTGTAGTCTATGCACACATATGTGCGTTGGCGGCTCAGCATATATAACAACACACCTCCAGGGTACGTACACAGCAGGAGGCATACGTAGGCAGCTCTATATGCAGGCCCTGTATATGGGGCAAGAGTTTCTCCTCGTTGCCCCGTTGCCCCTGTTCTCAACGTCTGCTCTCGATATGTGTGTCTGCTCTCGATATGTATCTGTGGGTGAACACTTGACAGTCTATCCCTCCCCCGTGAGAAGCGCTTATTCGAACAAGTCAACACACAAGGGAGAATGTCTGCATATTCCTTATTATTCGTGCACAGCAGGCTGTACTTTCGAGCCAGTAGTTTCGGCCCCCGTCCACCTGACGGAGGTTTCCAAGAAGGCATGAGATGAGCCCGTTAATGTCTTCGCGTTGGGTCCTCGCTCCACCACCACGGTTTCAAGTGAGTGCATCGACCTGATGGCACATGCTTGGACTTTCCCATGTCCCCACCGTTTATTCTCCTACATTGCGTCCCTAGGATCAATCTCAAACATCATTGGGAAACGTGGGCAGCATGGTCCCGCATGCGGGCGCACAAGGTTCGGAGCAAGAGGATCAGGGCGGAGTGGAGCGTGTTGAATTCAGTGTACGACGACTGCGTCGACGACCAGCATGGGACGCGGAGTCTGGTGGTCCATCTTTCTCGGCCAGCCGCTCTTCAGTCCATCTGGAGGAGGGGGGGGGGGGCAGGGACTCAATGCAATGGCAGTCCCCGACGGACTGGGGGCCCAATCGGGATGGAGCTGCAGCAGCTGGTACTGGCGGCCTTAGTACGGGGGTGTTCGGCTCGAACGGGATGGTATTGCGCACGGGAACTGGGAGATCAGTCATGGGATGTGCGCCGGTATCCCCGGCCAATGTATCAGTAGCTAGCATCGCACCTCGACAGGGTGCGTGCACGGGCGTAGGCAGGTTAGCCCTAGGAGGTGCGCCAATGTCCCCGACTTCTTTGTCTAGGGCGACGTGTGGAACAACGATTGCGCCTGTATCCCCGGCGACTGTGACGGCAGCCGGCATGGCCCCTCGCCCAGGTGCGAACCAAACGCGTTCGCCGCTTGCAATGCCCAAGTTTATTCCGATAGGGACGGCCTCAGCACCCCAGACCATAGGCACCAGTGGAGGAGCGGGTGAGAAGAGAGCGGCGGGATCATCTCTACATGAGGACCTCAACTCATCCCTGGAGCACGAGAGCAACAGACAGTCTTGGGCTGCCGACCCCAGCATGTCGTCCAGCGT